ATACGTTCATTTTTACTAGCTCTCAGAGATATACTTTACAGAAATTTTTGAAAAACTACCTAATAATTTTAGTTTTGGAAACTGCCAGCTTATTTTCCGTTCTTCGACAGATAGTTATAATTTACATTGTATATACATTCAAATTTTAGTAACGCTTTAGTGCTGTTTCGGCGCTTTTTTAGTATAAATACGTCGCTCTTTCGGTGGTATTTCAGTAGCTTTTTGGTCTTTTCGTACTAAATACGGTGCTGTTTCAGTGCTAATTTCGTAGACAATCGGCGGTTTTGTCCTGCAAACGGACCTTTTTCGGTCATATTTTGGAGAATTTTATGGAGCTAGTTTGGTTGTAATTCGGTAGTGGAATTGAAAAGAATGACTTTTACTCGGGATTCATTAAAGATCCATCATATAGTTTTTTAAACTTGTAATAAAATTTTTTCATACATGTCACCATTGACAAATGTCATTTATAATCTGACAATAGTAAACAGGAACAAGAAAAATGTAAAGCAGAATTGACTCCCAAGACCAATGGTTCTTCCTTTTAGAATATTCAATCGAGCAGACGCCCCTCCTGTTAATGCCCTTCCCATCATTCCCGTTGAAAACGTACTAACGATAAGTTCGAAGAAAATAACTCACAATGCAGTTCTTGGTGCTATTTACATTTTAAACTTGATCATTGGAACAGGCGATTTGATACTTCCCAGGGCGTTTCAGCAAGTCGGTTGGTTTCTTGGTTCGGTGTTCGTTCTATGCATAGGATTTACAGCCTACATGACGACTACATTTCTTATTGAAGCGATGGCTTGTGCAAATATGGTGGCCATGTCTCAGCGAGGTGACGGAGACGCGATATTCAGTTTAGACGAAAAATACGAAATAGTTGACATAAGCAAATTATTTTTGAGTAAAGCGGGTAGCGTATGTGTTGCCGTTATTACCGTTGTTTACCTCACCGGAGAGCTCGTTATATACGAATCATTATTTGCATGGACTGCCGTCGCGTTATGTTGTGGCGAAAGTCGTAATGAGCAAAACCTTTGCGGACCTTTGACACGTACTACTGTTCAACGATTGTGGATCATTGCGTTCAATATACTTTTTGGACCATTCGCCTTTTTCCATTTGACGAAAATGGTAGCGATTGAAGTGGTGACATGGGCGGTTCGTTTGCTCACGTTTACGACCATCCTTGTTTACACTTATTATAAAAATGAACAGGGCGGCGGAGAAGTCGAAATACCCTCGGTCAATTTGGAGCGCTTACCACTCATCTTTGGTGCCGGCATATTCTCGTATATGGTGCACCACTGCATGCCGTCAATTGTCGACCCCATTGTTGAGAAGCATCGTTTGAAGTTGATTTTGCTTGTAGAGTTTGTGATATTGACTTGCTACTACTTACTTATTTCTCTTTCACTGTTGTTTGCGGACGACGACTTAAACGTAATAGTGACGCTTCATTTTTTACCGGCGAAAAATGAAACTGTCCTTGCTTACCGTGTCATGGGTTATAGTGTAAACGTGTACCCATTGCTGACTGTTGCTGCCACGTTCCCACTGGTTGCCATAAGTTTGAGGGAGAATCTCAAAAATCTGTTCCTAAGGTCGGGAAGGAAGTACAGCTTCTTCAACAGAAAAGTTCTATTTCCCTTGCTGATAATAATAGTTTCGGCCACCATAGCTCTAGCTAGTTTGGATTTTCCCATTATTATAATTGTAGCAACGTCATATCTGGGTATACTTGTACAGTACATCATACCCATTGTCCTAGTCTACAATGCCAGGGTGTACTGTTCGTCAAACTTTGAAACGTACTATAATCCCTTCAAAAGTCCTTTCAGGAAAAGGCAATGGGAAATGGTGGTTATTGTGGTAGCGTCACTAGCAATAGTGTGTATCACAATCAAGCTTTGTAATAAATACTTGTCATAACTTGTGATTGATAGTGCTATAAAGATGTTTAAATTGTTTCTTTGAATGAAAAAGTTTTCTTGTTAAGATGAATAGTACAGAGATATAGACTATTAAAAGGGCTAAAAGCTTACGAAAAAGTGACCGATTTCATCTTTTATTTAAGGAAATTTCGTCCTAATTCGGAAAAAGGCCCAAGCGTGGCGAAACAGTAGTCTATATTTTATAAATGTTAGATACAGACTAGCGTCGTGTTCACGCAAGACGTTTGGTTATCAAAAACGGCAATGGACCACTGGTATCGATGTTCGGCTGTCATGCACGCGGTCTAGGTCTCTGTGCTTGGCAGGTACTATAGCTTTTTTTCTTAATTAGTGTTCACTATATTAACCTTTTACTAATTTCATTTTTAATATTAAATGTATCAGCCTAAGAATGCTTTTGTTGAGTTGCTTAAGATCATAAGGTTACATAACGAAGTGAGTGTTGTAGTGGCAATGTTCATGGCTCATGTTTTAAATATGCAACAGAATTGAAACGTATAGAGAGTTCTGAAGTGCTTGCGCAAATTTTCGAATTCGAACGTAATTTACCTAAATAAGTGATTAAATACATACAATAAAAGTGAATTTGAGGTCTGTATCTTGTTTTATTTAAAAGTAATGAGCTTTTGAAAAACGGTCAATGGTAATTTCCATGAACAGAATAATTCATTAATTTTTATGAAATCAAAACCTTCTGTTTGGTTCACACCATATTAAATATTTCGTAATGATTTTACTGTTGTAGTAATTTGAAAGTGAAGTACTTAGCTGTGAATAAAAAAAACAGAAAAAAAAGAAGATCAACTACTATTATAAGATAACTGTTCATGAAGACGATTACGAATTCCATTCGAACGATTATTATTATAACGTTTTTTTTTTCCTTACTAACCAGTACTGCAATAATAACAATGATTAAAATACTCGAGTCCATGACCGACCTTGATCTTTAAACTCTGGACGTACCGAACAAGCATACAGATCTCATCGTCAGCTATAATAATGTATTGTATTAAACGAACATATAAAATGCATACCGCATACAAAACCCATCCTCTTTTGTAACTGTTCTCGTTTACGTCGCCACTACCTTCAAGAATGCATAAAATGAGAGAATTACTTACAAAGCATGATTTTGCAATATAGTGACTCGCGCTGTAATTAAATAATCTTTTCGTTGTTCAAAATTCTAATTGCCCCGAATTGTATTAATAAATATAATTAATAATTAGTTCCCCAGCGATCCGAGCAATGCTTTCAGAACGGGTGATAGGTGAATGCATAACGAGCCCACGGTGAGTTAGTTATGTTCATTTGACAAAAAGTTTTTTTAAGCTATCAGTCTAAAAAAAAAGTTAAATAAGAACGTTTAATTTGAGCAGTTTAGAGTGACACAAAAATTGCCTGAAAAAATATAATGCAAACAAATAACTGACATTACATAATAACGGTTTTTACGAATGTTTTGTATGTAACTATTGGCTACTTAAATTATTTACCAATTTTTTTTGCATACTTCTGCACGTATACATGCGAACGTCGAGAGATGGAGATAAGGCATGCAATTTGCATGCAACAGGTAACTGTTACGTATAATGTAGATAAGTACATTTGTAGGTGCATTTATCTGTTATTAGCACGTAAGTTGGGTGAAAACCCGGAACAAAATTACGTTATTAAAAATAAATATTACATAAATAATAATAAGCAATCATTAGCAAAACGTATGAATGCATACTTATAAATCTGCTTTTAGATCCTGAAAGTGTAAAAAATAAACATTATAACCAATTTTGTTGTATTAATTTTAATTAACAGCTATCGTCCGAAAATCTATTTAGATATATGTATTACAATTGAATTCTCCGGTATAGTCTTCACTTTTCGAGAATACCAGAACTACTACTGTAAAGTAGGCAAACATGTGTCACTCAGGTATGATTTATTACCCTTGGCGTCTTTAGTGCAAAGGTTGTCGACCATCGGTCAGTATCTGCCTACGGGCATACCCATAAGCCGTCAAGATTATATTATCACGTATATGAATGCTTGTACGTAACAAGAAGTACAGAACAGATCGCTTCATTTTCAATTGGCCGAACCTCTCTTCTCTACTTCCAATAAGTCTCTAACTAGCCCTTCATAGTGCGTTGTAGAAAATACTACGAACGGCGCAGTAAACGCCATCTGTAGCACGATGCTACATTTTAGGATTACGTATGCTCCAACAAGGTCCACTTGTGTGGATATCTACTTGCTGAAAACGAATCCCGGCGTAGCCAACCTCAACGTGATAGGCACGTTAGCTTAATCGAATAAAATAATTCGAAGTGGTC